CCTCCGCCGGCGGAGGGCTGGCGGCAGCCGGCGGAAGGAGGCATGGGCCTCCCCAGAGATGGCAAGGTTTTTTGGTTCAGCCTTTCTGGGACCTGGAGAGCTGCGGGCGGAAGGGTCCCGCCCATTTTCGGCCTCTGGTGCCCCTCGCTGGGCCCTGGGGCCGTCAAGAGACGACGCAGAACGTGGAGCCGGTCCCAGGGAGAAGAAGTCGAGACCTCCTCCGGGGGTCCACCTGTTGAGAGTTTCACGACGTCTGAGGTCTGGGAATCGGGTCCGAGCAGATGGGGCCGAAGGATCGGCGCCGCAACGCCGGTGCATCGGCGATGCGGCTCGGTGTGGAGCCCAGCTTTCTCCACGCTGGCGGCAATGCGGTACGGTGGGGGCGTTGGTTAAGGAACGTGCACGGGAGGCATCAGACCCTGGAGGGTTCGTTATCTGATCAGGGCGGCGGCAATATCCACTGCCAATCCGCGATTGGAGTTCCACTGGCTTCCAGACCCTGGATTCCTTATCCAATGCTTCCTTATCCTTGCGGAAGTCGATTCATGGAGAGAAAGCATGCTGCCAAGTAATTTCCAGATGTCTAAGAGATGTTTCAACTATGTTTTGATTATGTTGAAATCATGTTTGAAACATTTTCAGAACATGTTTTACACATTTGAAGCACATTTGTAATTCAATGATAGGAATGTTAGAGTGTCAATTGTCATGGCATCCGCAACCTTAGCCGATGCTCCCACCGTGTGATGCTCCGACCCCATCCGCTCGGGCTCCATTTGGGAGGCCTCCACCCTCGTGGCTCCTTGGGTGGAGCACGGGTCGGCTGGCGAGAGGGCGGTCTGTGGCGTACGACCGGCGGCCTGGGCGGAGCGGTCGGGCGACTGACGGCAGTCGCTTTTGTAATTCGGGCTGCGCTGGCCAGGTGTTACATGAATGCCTGCCTGCTGCATTGGCTCCCACCGCCCTTTTCGTCCCTCCTCCCGCCTCCCTTCCCCGTCCCCCTTCCTCCTTCCTCTCCTGCCCCCTCATCCTCCCGCCTCCTCTTCCTTCTGCCTCCCCACCCCTCGCACCTCCACATTCTCCCTCTTTTCCCCGTTCTTGTCCTCACCTCTCTTGTTCACGGACCCTCTTTCTTCTCCTTGCAAAGATTACTCTTTCTGGTCTCTCGTCTCCACGCATCTCGCCTGCGCACTGCTGCCTGCGTCGCCGCCTCATTAGTTCGGAATGACTGTGTGCGAAATGCGCCCCGCCGCCCTTGCAAATTCAAGCTCTCGCCGTGCGACGTGGACGTCCTCCTCGCCGGCGCTCGCATTTACTCTAGCGTTGTCTGTGTGCGACGCCTCTGGGACCTGCAGACATGTCTGTGCTGTCTGCGTCGCCTCTGGAAACAATATGAAGAAATCAGGCCCGAAGAGGGACATACATCCAAGCCCCCACCATTCACCAGTCTTACGCTGCAGCGTCGCGTCGTCTCCTCGACTACTCCACGTCTTCTCACCTTCCCCTTCCCTCCGTTTTCTCCTTGTCCTATTCACGCACCCTCTCTCTTGTCTCTCGTCTTTCCATCTCTTTTTTTCTCTCTCTCTCTCTCTCTCTCTCTCTCTCTCTCCCCCTTGCTTCCCTATTGTCTTCCCTCCCCCTTTCCCTGCGCCCTCCCCTTCCTCCTCCCCCGTTATCCTCTCTCTCTCTCTCCTCTCCCTCTCTCTCGTTTTTTTTTTTTTTTTTTTTTTTTTTTTTTTTTTTTTTTTTTTTTTTTTTTTTTTTTTTTTTGTTTTGTTCTCTCTCTCTCTCTCTCTCTCTACATATATATATATATATGCCTTTATCCGTCTCTTTCTCCCTCCATCCACATCCTTCTTCCTTCCTCCTTGTACCCCCCTACTTCTCATCCCCCCTCCCCCAGAAAATTCTGAAGCCCTTCACCGCCCTAAAACTCACTGAAACCTCCTCTCCTCTGGATCCCTCTCCTCCCGCTCTCCCTCTCCTCGCCGTCGTTGCAGGTCCCCGGAGGTCCCCAGAGGTCCTTTAAGGCCTCTGGAGGCTACCGTGGCGTTCTGAGCCCCCCCCCAAGGGGGCCCTGAACGTCCGAAAACCTTTGCGGGTTCCCCTGCACAGGTCTCCTGCCCCTCCTTTCCTCCTTCCCTCCCTCCCTCCTCCCTCTCTTCTCCCTCCTCCATCCCTCCACTTCCTCCCTCCTCCCTCTTTCCTCCTCGTCCTCCTCGTCCTCCTCCTCCTCGTCCTCCTTCTCCTCCTTCTCCTCCTCCTCCTCCTCCTCCTCCTCCTCCTCCTATTCCTCCTCCTACTCCTCCTGCTCCAAGGACGTCCTAGATTGGGGCGTGGAGAAGCTCACGGCGCTGCCGGGCTCCGACAAGCAGTACCTCCCCAACCTCAAGGACCTCGAGGCGGGCAGCCACTCCCTTTGGGGAGCCAGTCGTCGTCGCCGCCGTGGTCGTGGTCGTGGTCGCGCTGGTGGTGGTCGTTGCCTTTGCTTCGGTGTCGGTGTCGCCGTTGTAGTTGTCGTCGTCGTCGTCGTCGTCGTCGTCGTCGTCGTCGTCGTCGTCGTCGTCGTCGTCGTTGTGGTCGCCGTCGTCGTCGTCGTCGTCGTCGTCGTCGTCGTCGTCGTCGTCGTCGTCGTCGTCGTCGTTGTCGTGGTCGCCGTCGGCGTCGTCGTCGTCGTCGCCGCCGTCGTCGTCGTCGTCGTCGTCGTCGTCGTCGTCGTCGTCGTCTTCATCTTCGTCGTCGTCGTCGTCGTCGTCGTCGTCGTCGCCGCCGCTGCCGCCGCCGCCGCCGCCGCCCTTGTCGTTGTCGTTGTCGTCGTCAGAGGTGAAGGGGTAGGGAGGAGCAAGATGGGGACGTATGTCGTTTGTTTTTGAGTTTCTGCATGGCTTGCGTGGGCTTCAGTGGCTCTCAGAAGTCCTAGGAGTGAGGGCGAGGAGGGAGGAGGAGGTGGAGGAGAGGGAGGAGGAGGACGGAGCAGGAAGATAAGAGGAGGAGAAGGAGGACGGTGAGGATCACGATGACGATGACGACGAAGACGACGAAGCTGCTGCTGCTGGGCGTCGGCGTCGGTGCCGCCGTTGTCGTCGTTGTCGTCATCGTCGTCGTCGTCGTTGTTGTCGCCGTCATCGTTTCCTCCCTCCCCATCTTCTTCCTGGTGTCAGTCAGGGCGACCGACGGTGCTTACACAGAGAGCCCCGCTGCAATGGCAGCTGGGGCCACCAGATGAGGCAGAACGAAGTGGATCAACATGCTCGGTATTGCACGCGATGCAGGAAGAGACCTGAGACCGCTTGCGCGAGCGGCTACGACGCCCGAAACGCGATCGTACTGTACTGTTCAAGGGCCAGCTGGTGTACGAAGGAAACTAGGCACGGCTGGGCCACTTTCGCTTTGCAGTGAGGTGGAGGTCTTCGCAAGCTGGCGAGCCCTTCCCCCAATGTCGGAGGCCTAGAGGTTGGCACCAACACCAATTTCGGTGGTTGCCTTCAGCAAGGGAAGATGATCCCGACCTCGGTGATGGCGGCACTATTCGGGCTTCCCAGGTAGACTGAAGATCACCACAGGCACCGACATCTAAGATCATTTCCCCTGGTGGAGACAAGCCCGCTGTGCTGGTGTTGGTGCCAATCTGCAGTCCTCCGAGGACGGCGTCGGGGGCCCAGAGCAGCGATTATTTGTTCTACTGCTGGGGTCGGACGTGCGCCCAGCGCGATTCGCTCCCGGAGCACCCCACCGCTTGCTGACCGGCGTCGGACTATCTTGGACCAATTGGCGCCCACGGGCGTCAAAAGCGTGCCCAGCGTGACGCGGAGGAAAGGCTCGGCGGGCACTTGCCCACACCCGCAGCGAGCTTGCTGGCTGATCTTCCTCGATAAGGGGAACGAAGAATGATATAAACTCAAAAACTCGGAGGTCCGCGCGGATTTCTCGGATCGGCGCTGGAGCCCCCTCCCTTGGCGAGCGGAGCGCGCCAGGGGTGGTGCCGGAGGTGCCGCCCAGGGGGTCCGGCGCGGATCCGAGAGACCCGCGCGGACCTCCGAGTCCTTCTGCTCATGCCATCCTCCGTTCCCCATGCTCGAGCCTGGAGCCTGAGCCGCCGAGGCCTGTCGGCGAGGCACGACGGCGGCACGATGAGGATGCACGGGCCTTGGAAGGTCGTTTCGAAGCTTTTCGAGCGGGGCGCGGCCAACGAAACCTGTCAAGGATGGACCGAGGAGGCCAGGATGCGAGAGCACCCTTGGGAAAATTGCCAACCCCTACTGTGCAGGTTGATTGTAGCGGGCCCCAGGGATCTTCGCCTCCGGCTCCTGTCCAAGGCGTTCCTTTTTCTGTGCAAGCTCCTCGGCACCGCCTGCACCCTGGTCCGCCCTCCGGCCGCTTGAGGCCCCGCCCGCCTGTGCCCTGTCTCCCCAATTAGAGCTGTGCGTAGCCCGCCTAGCTTTTACCGGAAGAGGTTCGCTCTCGCCCCGCAGACCAAAAACTGCAGCGGGCCCCAGGACGATCACAAACAGGGCTCGTGGAGCCTGAGCCGCTTCCTCCCGCAGCTCCCGGCGGGCACGATGGCCAGGCCGGTGGGCGGAGCCCGGCGTGCGCCCTGCCGCGGCGCCGGCCTCGGCGCCGCGGTGCCCGGCGGGCGCCCCCCGCCGCCCAGCGGGCCTCGCGGAGGGGGCGCCGGCAGCGCGGGCGCGCCGCGGAGGCCACGCCCGCCGGGGGCTGCCAGCGGCGAGTGCGGCGGGGGCCGCCTGTTGCGGCCAGGTGCAAGGAGGGGGGGGCAGCGGGGGGAGGGGGGAAGGCTTCTCAGAAGCGCCCCGGCTTCTCAGAAGGCGCGGGCCTCTCCAGAGAGATGCAAGGCCCGCGGTTTCTCATGAGCAGCCTCCTTCTAAGGAGGCTGGCCGCCTCCCCCTACCCCCCCCTGTGCGCGCCGCCAACCGTTTGCAGCGCGCCCGATTCGTTTTCTCACTAGCTTGGGATGCTGCGTGAGCTTGCCTATCGCAGGTGGGTTTGTCTGCTTTCCGGGTTCGCACGGCGACCTTTCGGTTCGCATGGCTGCTGCCCCGTTCAAAAACAAACAGCTGGCGGGGGCGCTGCGTTCGGTGCGACGCTCGGGAGGTTTGTCTCGAAGGGTCTCGCTGTCGTGGGGTACTGGCGCACCAGGTGAAGCGTTTAAGGAACGGCTTCGGCCTCGAGGAATCGACGGAGTTGTTATTTCTTCCCCAGCGGAAGGCCGGCGGAAACCGGCGGGAGTAAAACGAGGCTACCTAGCACCCCGCAGTTGCGGATAAGAGTGAGGGGGCGGCGGGGGCGTCGGCAGTCTGCGAGGCTCAGAAAAAAAACGCCGCAGGCTGCTAACTTTCACACATCATACAACGAGACCGCCGCAGGCGCCCGTTTATTCGTTAAATCAATGTGGGTGGGCGGGTCGCAGGTGGGTCGCGGAGGGTTGCGGGTGGGTCGCGGGCCGGGTCGCTGTGGGTGGGTCGCGGGTGTGTCGCGGGTGTGGGTCGCGGGTGGGTGTGCGGGGTGGGTCGCGCGGGTGGGTCGTGGGTCGCGGGCCGGGTCGCGGGTGGGTTGCGGGTGGGTCGCGGGTGGGACGCGGGATGGTTCGCGAGTGGGTCGCGAGTGGGACGTCGGGTGGGTCGCGAGTGGGTCGCGGGTGGGTCGCGGGTGGGTCGCGGGTGGGTCGCGGGTGGATCGCGGGCGGGTCGCGGGTGGGTCGCGGGTGGGTCGCGGGATGGTTCGCGGGGTGTGTCCCAGGTGGGTCGCGGGTGGGTCGCGGGTGGGTCGCGGATGGGTCGCGGGGGGGACGACCACAACAACAACGCAAGGCAACAACAGCAACAACAACAAGCAGAGTCCGCTCTGCGGAGCCCTTTTGCAGCCGCGCACCCATGGACAGTGAATGACCGTTCGGCCCGCTCACTCTGACCTCCTCTGGCGGAAGCTGACGGAAGCAAACAAATGCCCCCCCCCTCCCCCCCAAGAGGTGACTTTTTTTTGGGGGGGGTTCAGGGTTTCTGGACCACCTCAGGCGGAGCCCAGCCCCTCGCTCGGAGGGGCGCGGAGCCGCGCTGCCCTATCTGTGGCTCGCTCGTCCCTTCCTCCCTGTGACCCTTGTCCTCTTCCCACCCCTCCCTTCCTCCCACGCCTCGCTCCTTTCATCCTTCTCCTCTTTCTTTGCCCCTGCTCTTCCCCCCGCTCCCTGCCCCACCCCTCGTTCCTCCCCTTCCCCCCGTGGACTTTCGAGGCCAACCATCCACGATGCAGAGTCCCGGGGGCCAGCCGGGACCGGCCGAACCGCGCTGGCCGGGCGCCCGCCTGGGCCTGCTGATGTCCTGGCGCGTGCTCACGCACTGCGCAGGCAGCCGGCTGCTGCACTCGTTCGGGAAGTCGTGACTGCGGCTAGCCAGGCTTGCAAAAATCGAAGCCTGACGTCGACCCCAACGTGGAGTGCTCACGTATCGCCGCACGCCCTGCGCGGCCCGCCCCGACTGTGTGGCAACAGACGCTAACAATAGCAGCAACAATGTTGGCAATGCGACAGGATGAACGACGGCACCATCAACGCGGGGCGGGCGGGTAGACCCCAGCAGCATCCAAAAGCGCAATTCCCAGGATAATGTCACCATCCCCTTCAACGCTGAAGCACACCTGGGGGCAACGGTCCTCCTCCCCTCCCCCCTCTCCTCCCCGTCCCCGCCCCGACTGGCGCCTGGTCCTCAGGCCGAGGACGACGCGGACAACATGACGTGCGGCGCAAACGGCACGAACTGCACCAACAAGACGGTCGCCGACATCAGCGCAGAGGAGGACTCGTCGTCGTCTCAGCTGCGCAAGAGTGGCCATTCGCCAGCGCGGCCTCCGGTGTGCCGCTTTCGGGGGGAGAGGGGGGGCCGCCTCCAAGTCACGCGAGCCTCTGCCGTCTCACGCACCTTTCTTAGGGCCACTCTTGCGTTTAGCAGGTCGTCGTCGTCGTCGTCGTCGTCGTCGTCGTCGTCGTCGTCGTCGTCGTCGTCGTCGTCGTCTCCAGTGGCGACTCGAGCTAGATGTTTCTTGCTGTTCTCAGGCTCCGGGGGGCCGTCCAAGCTGTTCCCAGGGAAGGGTCGACAGCTCCAGGGATAAGCAGTGTGAAGAAAGACGAGTCGCGGGATGCCCGGGTACGAGGAGGAGGTAAATGAGGATGAGGAGGAGGAGGAGGAGGAGGAGGAGGAGGAGGAGGAGGAGGAGGAGGAGGAGGAGGAGGAGGAGGAGGGAAGGAGGAGGGTCAAGAAGAGTGGGGGGAGGGAGGGGCGCAGGGGTGGGGAGGAGGAGAAGGAGGAGGAGGAGGAGGAGGATAATGAGGACGAGGACTAGAACGAGGATTCGGATGATGATGCTGATGATGCTGATGATGCTGATGATGACGATGATGATGTTGCTGCTGATGATGATACTGATGCTGATGATGAGAATGATGATGGTTGCTGTGATTATGCTGATGATGATGTTGATGATGATGGTGCTGATGATGATGACGCTGATGACATGGCTGCAACTATGATGCTGCTGATTATAGTAAGTCTGCTGCTGATGCTGCGGATGATGATGCTGCTGCTGCTGATGATGATGATGATGATGATGATGATGATGCTGATGCTTCTGAAGCTGCAGTTGATGACAACAGCGATGATGATTGATGCTGTCGCTGATGATGGTGATGGTGAGCGTGAGCATGATGCTGTTGTTGTTGTTGTTGATGCTGATGGTTGTGGTGATGATGACGATTATGTGGCTAATGATGTTGACGATGATTGTGCTGATGGGCGTGATGCGGCTGTTTGTATTCATGTTAACGAGGATCATCTCGATGATGGTCATGATGATGATGATTATGATGATGATGATGATGATGATGATGGTGATGGTGATGATGATGATGATGCCGATGATGAAGATGCTGCTGATGCTGATGATGATGAGGATGGTGATGATGATGATGATGATGATGAGGAGGAGGAGGAGGAGGAGGAGGAGGAGGAGGATGATGATGATGATGATGATGATGACGACGATATGATGATAATGCTGATGTTGAGTCTGATGATGCTGCTGCTGAGGAGGAGGAGGAGGAGAAGGATGATGAAGATGATGATGGTACTGCGCCGATCCGAAAGTTTTCCGGATTTCGCCACCGTGCTCGCCGCGGCCATCTGGGGTGGCGCGCGCAGGATAAGACTCGCGGGGCCCGAAGGCGGATGGGGGCGATGTCGCTAGGGCAGAGTCGGCGCGCCGATGGGCAGGCCAGCACCCCGTTTGGTCGGAGGGGCCCAGTACAATGCAAGGGCCCGCCCGGGGTCGCAGGATTGGGTTCCCCTTCCCAAGCGGTGTACTGACCCGAAAATGAGCAAACGGCATAGGACTTCCTCGAATGTGACGACCCGAAAAGTTTACCGGCCGACCTGAAAGTGGCCACATCCCATGAGACTTGTACCCCAAAAAATCCAGGTCCGGCTCGAAAGACCCGAAAATTTGCAAACCGCCTAGGACTCTTTGCAAAAAACGTCGTTCTCGAGGTCTTCGGGCCGGCCCACTCCGAAGAAACCGAACATGAGCAAACCGCTTAGAACTTCCGATCAAAAGCGGTTCCTCGGTGGTTCCGGGCCTCGTCCGAAGGGGCTGCCGATGGGCAGACCGCTCAGGACTTCCTGCGCAAGAAAAGGTTTCCCGGGTGAGCCATTGTCAACGGGAACGCGCCCCGCGCGGGATCGGGGTTCGCACGGGGGCGCGGCTGCTCTCGCCTGTCCAGAGGGCATGCAGTGCCGCGCCCTTCCAGCGTAGCGTTTGCGTTGCATTCGCGCGGCGCCGTGCCTCTCAAATCGGAATAAACTTTCGGAGCGCCGATGTAAGGAGGAGGTGGGACGCAGGCCGCGGACGGTCACTCATGTGAATTCGACACGACATGGGACCCCCCCAGGATCCCATCCTTAGCGTAGGCCGAACCTGGGTTTAACCCCAAGCTCTGCTCGCGCCGACCTGGGTCCAGGGAGCCCGCCTCCAGGTCGAAGGCGGCGTCCCTGGCGTGTTCAGCTCCTGATCTCCGTTTCGAAGGCGGCGAAGAGCTGGGAGAGGTCGCGGGCGCGGGCACCCGCGGCGGCATGGGGCCCGCCAGGCTGCGGCCCGCCGCTTCCGCCGTCGGCGGCATTCCGCTCCACGTCGAAACCGTCGTCGCCGCCCGCTTCCCGCAGGCCCGAAACGAATCCTGCCGCCCATGGGCCAGGAAACCTGGTGGCTCCGCCAGGGCCAGTAGTGGAGGCGTCCTCGAGCCTCGGGCCGAGGCCGTACCCATCCAGCCTGGGCTGCATGCGCTCGGCGTCGGCCAGCCTCATCTCGACCGCGACCATGTCGTCAGCCGCCGCCGCGAGGCCGAGGTGGGCCCGCTCCTCGCCACCGCCTCCGCGGGCTGCGTCGAGTGCGGTACTGTCGACACGGTCCCTGGCCTCCTGGAGGAGCCGCTGGAGCTCGGCCACTGCGGCCCGCGAGGCTCGGGCCAAGCGCTCCCGACGCCGCACGAAAGGCCGAGCCTGGTCCTCCCCCGCAGCATGCTCCAGCACCTGCTTGTGGGCAATGGCCGTCCAGCCCAGCCCCTCTGAGACTTGCGCGGAGGTGTCGACCTTGGTGATGCTGTCGCCCAGCACCTGGCCGACGTGCTCGGGCACGTACGGCTGTGCCGCCCTGCGAAAGGGCGTTGCGCCGCGGTGCTCGCCTGGGCGCTGCCAGGGCTCTCCAGCTCGTCCGCCAAGACCGGTGCCTCCGTGAACCATAGGGACTCTTCGGGCGCCATGCCGTGGCGGGTGTTGCCGACCATGGCGCGGCCCATCCCCAGGTCCGCTAGCATCGGCACGAAGGCTGGAGCGTTGATGTTCCACTTCAAACCGCCCGTCTTCAGCTGCCGCTCCAGGACCCCGTTCTCCAACCTCGGCCCGTGCTGCGCCGCCTTGGAGCTCCATCGCGTCCGCGACGAGCAGGCGCGCCCCTGGCACAGGGCTAGGAGGATGCAGCCCACGCGAGCGGCCACGTCGCCGTCGCCGAGGAGCGTTGCAAGGGCCCTCTCGGCCTCAGCGCGCCGATCGTCGGCGACTTCAGCCTGTTGCTGCAGCTTCGTGACCAGGCGGTCTGCGTCAGCGCGGACGCCATGAGCCCCGCGAGAAACACGGGCGTCGCTCGTCCCGTACGCCATCGAATGCCTTGCGTCCCGCCCGTCGAACTAACGGCTATGGGGCCTGGCATCAGGCATGAGCAAAAACTGGTGGTGGTGGTGGTGGTGAGGAGGAGGAGGGGGAGGAGGAGGAGGAAGAGGAGGAGGAGGAGGAGGAGGAGGAGGAGGAGGAAGAGGAGGAAGAGGAGGAGGAGGGGGAGGAGGAGGAGAGGAGGAGGAGGAGGAGGAGGAGGAGGAGGAGGAGGAGGAGGAGGGGGATGAGGAGAGGAGGAGCAGGAGCAGGAGCAGGAGCAGGAGGAATTGGGGAGGAGGAGGTTCTTCAGAAGGAGGAGGAGGAGGAGGAGGAGGAGGAGGAGGAGGAGGAGGAGGAGGAGGAGGAGGAGGAGGAGGAGGAGGAGGATAGGAGGATAGGAGGAGTGGAGAGGAGAGAGGAGAGAGGAGAGGAGAAATGAGGAGGGGAGAATGGATAAAAAAGAGTGCTGCCTTCGGAGGAGTCTCGCGTTCTCCCGAGTTGGTCCTCTTGCAGCCGATCCAACTTGCAACTTTCGTGGGTCCGCGCGGATTTCTCGGATCGGCGCTGGACCTCCCTGGCGCGCAGAAAGCGCGCCAGGAGCGACGCCAGAGGCGCTGCCAAGCGGGTCCAGCGCCGATCCGAGAAATCCGCGCGGGCCACCTCTTAGCGCTGAGGTTTTTGCAGGGGCTTTCCGTCAGGGGCTCGTCCCCCCGATGCCCGCGGCCTCCCCGGGTCTCCTTCCAGAGGCACGCCGGCCCGAGCGCGCCTAGTCGAGCTGCGCGCCAATCGAGCCAACGGAAGCCCTGCCGTGGGGTGCCCTGTCGGCAGGAGTCCGCGCGGATCTCGGAAAGCCCATGTTGATGCAGTATTTCTCCTGCCTCTCTCCGGTCGCCCCCCCTTCTGCCCCTTTCCCCCTCCGCGCCAGCGTCTCCGCTTCGCCTGGGAGGAGCGGGCGGGAACGGTCCGGCGGTAGGTCTGCTTGCCGACTCCCTCTGCTTCGGCTACGCTGGTGGCAGCATTCCTCCGCGTCATCGCCATTCAGGTCGTGGTGCAGGATAAAGCAAGAGCCCCGCTGCCACGTGGACTCCTGGTCACAACTCGGGCCTCCGGCGGCCATCGGGGGCGATGCCCAGACACCCCTGGACAGCTCTCGGCGCGGCGCAGCTCCTGGAGAGCGTCCCGAGTGTGGAAGAAGGCCGCCGAGAACGGGCGAGGGCGCCCGAGAACCTGGAACCCGGAACCCCGATCATCGCAACACCGCGCCACCCTATCGCCCTTGAGGTCGTGGTACATGCTTCCGGTCATGAGCTCTGGCTTAGCGCGCGGTCGGGCCTCCGGCTCTGGCCCACGCCGCGCTTCGGCGCGACACGCCCTCCACGCCAACGTCCCGAGAGCTTCCCGGCCTCCCGCCCCGCGGAGTGGAGGGGCACGCTATCCGCTCACGTGGCACGGCGTGTCGCCAGGGCCGCTGCGGCGACGCGCGATCCAAAAGCTGTGGACCGCTCAACCGTTGACCGCACAGCCGTTGATGCAACTCCAAACTCTTACTTGGGGACCACTCTCCGGCCGGGGGCGTTGCTTAGGGGGGGATGCGCCATTCCATCGCCCGGGGGGGTTGGAATGCCGCCCCTGCGCGGATCGCTCCCGCCAAAGTGCCCCCGAAAAGGCGAGCTTAGGCGGGGGCTTCTCTCGTAGGCAGGTCCTGCATCGCCCGGGGGGTGTGTTGCCTCCGCCCATCACGTCCCGAGGACGACGCGGAGGAGCCGAGCGGCGGCGCAGCAGAGGAGAAGGCGCCCACGGGCGCGGGCGCGAGGGCGCGCCGTTGTGTTGCCTCTCGTCAGGAGTCAGGGGGCGCGTGGGGGAGGGGGTCCTCCTCTTCCGTCTCTCTCCTCCTTTCTCCTCTATCCTCCTCCTGCACCCTTCTTCCTCCTCCTCCTCCGTCCTTTTCCTCCTTGTCCTCCTCCTCCTCCTCCTCCTTCTCCTCCTCCTCCTCCTCCTCCTCCTCCCCCTTCTTCCATCGTCTTGTCTCTTCCTTCATACTGCCTCCTTCTCCTCCTCCTCCTCCTCCTCCCCATCTCGTAATGGTAATTAGGTGGGCGTGGCCGCTCTTGGCCTGCCCGCAAGGCCTCGTCACGATGCGATGCTAGGGCCCTGGCGGTAGCAGAGTAACCGTGGATCCAAGCTACGTGCGCTTCTCCTTCTCATCTCTTCTTGTCCTCCTCCTCTCCTCCCTTCTCCTCCTCCTTATCCTCATACATATCCTCATCCTCATCTTTCTCATTATCATCCTCATCATCATCACCATCAGCAGTATCATTGTGATCACCATCATCACCATCACTATCACCATCACCATCACCATCACCATCATCATCATCATCATCATCATCATCATCATCATCATCACCATCATCATCATCATCATCATCATCATCACCATCAGCATCATTATCATCAATACCATCATCAGCATCAGCATCATCATACTCATATTCATCAGCATCATCATCATACTCATATTCATCAGCAGCAGCATCCGCATCATCATTACCAGCATCACCACCATCATCGTCATCGTCATCATCAGCATCACCATCACCGTCATCAACATGATCACCATCATCATCAGTATCATCATCATCGTTGTCGTCGTCAGCATCATCATCATCAGCATCATCATCAACGTCACCATCATCGTCCTTATCATCACAATCAACATCGCCGTCATCAGCATCATCATTACCGTCATCATGATCATCATCATCATCACCATCATCATCATCACCACCATCATCATCATCATCATCATCATCATCATCATCATCATCATCATCATCATCATTGTCATTATCAGTATCTCACATCACCATCAGCAACATCAGTCTCCTCCTCCTCATCATCATCATGATCATCCGCATCCGCACCCGCACCCGCATCCGCATCCGCATCCGCATTTGCATCTGCATCCGCATCCGCATTTTCCTTCTTCTTTTCTTCCTCTTCCTCCTCTAGCTCTCTCCTTCATTCCTTGTCCTAATACATACCTCCTCCTCGTCGGCCCCTTGTCGTGTCGGTAAGGCTGGCTGGGCGTGTCGCCTGGCGATCTTGAAACTTGAAAACTGCAACAGCTTCAAGGATGGAGTGTGGGATGTATTCAGCGAGTAGCTCTCGCCTTAGCGCTGCGCAAATGTCCTCTTAACCACTTGCGACAGCTTCAGGGATGTAGACAGGGATCGTTTTCAAACTGGAGTCCTCGCGTTTGCGCCGCGCAAATGTGTCTCAAGAGTCTGCAGCAGCTTCAGGGAAGGTTGGGGTCGTTTTCGCACTAGACCTCTCGCCCGATCGCCGCACACATTCGTCTTAGCGGCTCGCAGCTGCTTCAAGGAAGGAGGACGGTTCCTTTTCAGAATTCGGCTCTCGCTTCATCACCGCGCACCTTTGTTGTACAGCAGTGAAGCAGTTTCAAGGATGGGAGGTCTGCTCCCTGTGAAAGTTGGGCTCTCGCCGTAGCGCCGCGCACGCTCGTTTTGAAGAGTTGGCAATGGCTAGAGGGACGGCGGGCGGTTCCTTTTCCAGGAGGAGCCTTCGCCTGGGTCTCCCCTTGACTTTCGGGGTCAGGAACCGCAGCGGCTGGAGCAGCTGCACGGATGGAGGGCGGCCCCTTTTCAAAAGGGGGCTCTCGCTTGAGAGCTCCATCCTCGCTCGTGACCATACTCGGAGGCCTGTGCAAGAGATTCGCAGCTGGGGCGGTCCTGACTCAAAATGGGGATCTCGCGAATCTCCAAGTGGAGCTGCAGGATCGTACCCCCGCGCGTTTGGTATAGCTCGCAGGACGGGGCCCCTGCCTGAATGGCCGGCCCATGGGGTGCTGCGCGTCTTTCCAAGGGGGCGCCTCTTGAAGTGGAGGGGCAGACTTGAAGGGTCTTGGGAGGATGGGGCTCCGGACGGGGTTGTCTTGCAGCATTGTTGATGCATCTTCGGTTTATTCTGGTCTCTCCTCCTCGTCTCGTCCCCTTTCTCCTCCTGGTCATCCACCCCCGTCGCCGACTCGTGAGTGGCGTCATTGGCTGGACGTACTCATATGGCAGGGAGCGTTATAGGCACGCATCGTACACGTATCATCATTTCGCGGGGGCGACATCGCCGGCGGGGCGCGCGATGAACGCACATATTTGGTCGCTGTGTACCTATACATCACGACTTCTAGACGCTGTCACGTGCCCACTCACGTGCAGCGGTGCACGGGCATCTTGCATGGTGCGTGTCGGGCAACTGTTCCTTGTCTCCTCTTCCGAGCTCTCTCCCCGAGAGCCGTGCACGAAAAGCACTGCGCTCGCTGAGCCGACGACCAAACAGGCGCCTCTGGACCAGACCCAAACAACGGATGCTTTTGGGCAGACGTGGAGGGGTGGCATTCCAGGGCCCACTGGTGCCGGTATTCTCCCTCTCTCTCTCTCTCTTTCTCACGGAGATTTGCAGCCCAAGGCCTTGCGTTGGCTCATCGTTGGGCTGGCCGAGGCGGTTCCCTGGTGGCAAGGCGTGCGACCTGCTGCTGCATCGTTTTCTTGTGGAAAGAACTTCATTCCAGAAGCCCCTTGGGGGACGGCTTTCTTTCAGCAGATTTCTCGTCCAAGTTTTTTCTCTTTGTTTCAAACGCTCAAGCCGCTCAGGTCTACATCGCACCTGTAGTCGGATGGGGAGGAGGAGCAGGAGGAGGAGGAGGAGGAGGTGGAGGAGGAGGAGGAGGAGGGTGAGCAGGATGATCTTGAGGATCAGGACGAGGAGGATCGGGCGGAGGAGGATGACGAGGATGAGGATGATCAGAAGGAGGAGGAGGAGGAGGAGGAGGAGGAGGAGGAGGAGGAGGAGGAAGAGGAAGAGGAAGAGGAGGAGGAGGAGGAGAAGGATGAGGAAGAGGAGGAGGAGGAGGAGGAGGAGGAGGAGGAGGAGGAGGATGAGGAGGAGGAGAGGGGAGGATAACGGGGACTGAGGGGGGTATGAGAAGGAT